AATGATATATACTGATATACCATCTGATCAAATATGACTCGGACCAACAAAACACCTAATTTACACGTACTTTAATACAAAATAGGCGCCATACATCCATTTTAAGCTTCAGATGGGATGGCCTTTAGCGATTTTTTTTTTCGATTTCGGCGTATTTTTAGAGCGCCAATAGCTAGGTTGTTTTAAAACATATCATATTCACGCCTAGACACCAATAATGATGCGTTTGATAAATGTAGGGTTCTCAGCAATGTTGACAAGAATTTCTTTTATGGCCTCTACGTATACTCGACGCCGTTTTGCAAAAGATTTTGGTATTTCGGTACGAGTCTAGCATTTAGACATATCAATCGAAATGTGTTAAGTCGAACCATATCGATTAGATATGTGGCGATTCTCTAATGCCAACACAATGATTTTCAAGTACTGCTTCTTTAGCCTTTTCGATGTTATCATCATTAACAGAGGCGGGTGTGCGACTCGCAGGAGGCAAGTTTCTTTTCAACCAAAAATTTGTGTTCGTGATAAAGTATACTCCCCGCAACACTTTGATTGATTCCATTGGAAACACAAAATTTCCAGAAAATTCGTTCTTCATTTCTTTTTTCATGATTACAAAGAGATCAAACTTCATTTGTACAGACAAATTTTGTATCAATCTAGGCCATAAATTTTAATCGAGCCGGTTTGCGAGCGCAGGTTAAATGGACCAGTCTGGGTCAGGACAGAGGGTATGATAATATATATTTTTACATAAACTAATGACAATTTGCTAACTTGACGGCACAAACATGTAAAAATGAGCGTATCGCCTCAGTTATCATAACCCATTCAAATCCCTTCAGCGGAAATTTTCTTCATATCGTTATATCTCCCATCGAATTCGCTGGCTCAAAATGGTATAGCCCACATCCCAATCAAATTTGGTATGTTAATCAGTTCAACGAAGTCGATAACTGTCAATGGCAAACGATGCGAAATGATAGTAATCAGTAAAACTTGAACAAAATATATACAGATCGCCACGATCACATAACCGGAGAGAGCCATCGAGATTATCACCCCCATATTTTTTTCTGGTGAAGTTCTCTCTAGGTTTAAATTCATGGTAATTAACAATAAGCCGTTATAACTGCGTTAAACATTTTAAGAGAACATTGAGAGAACTGAAAAATTAGTCTCAGAAATAAAGCACAAACGTGCATATGTTTTCACCAGACATCCTAAGAAGCTGGGGGAATTACAAAAGTTATAATTATAGCGGCAAAATTTATTAGTTTTTATTATTATTTTTATAGTTATCTGTATAATAAATCAATTTTTGAAATGACAATAAAACTCAATGACGGAGATGTTGACATTTAAACGCAATATGAATACCTTTTTTAAAAGTCTATTAATTGTGTTATTACAGAAAATGTTGCCAGTTTCGAAAAATCTTTGAATTTTATTTATGGATTTATAGCAAATTATAAAAATTTTGCTATAGAAATCTTTGAATGCTTATATTTTTTACCACAGCTAACTTTTAATTAGAATTATGTATATGATATTGCAAATCCGCAGCACTAGCATTTCAATTGCAATTCAAGTTGAAAAAATTAATAAAGTAAAAAAATAGTAAACAATTACAACAATAATTAATGAACGTGTAAAAAAATTTTTTACACAAATGCTACATTTAATAAGTAAATAAGTTTAAATAAAACACTTAAATACTCATAAATCAACCAAGCCACCAGGGTGATCAATAAATAAAGCTTTTCAGTAACAAAACACCATCGCAATATGTTGACACACACAGTGTTTATGTGTAATTACAGTCATGTAGTAAAGTAAATGCACTTCGTTAGTTCATTCAGTGTTGCATTTTATCGTACATACTCTTGCATAGCGCAAAAAAGCTTACAGAAAGCTCACTGGCATACACGGTTACACTACTCACTTGTTCAGCTAAGTATTTACGACAATTAGAAAGCTTAACACGCCGAATGCGATATGCGTAATAAAGTGATTGTGTAAAATTCCTCGCTTCCAAGTATCAAATATGACTTTTTTTCTATATAACGATAGTAAATACTATGTAGTATAGAGTTTGGAAAAATTATTACAAACTTAAAATAAATAATAAATTTTAAACAATAAAAATAGTATAAAAAAAGTTTAAACTTTTTCAATACGTACACAAACTTTAAATTAAACCGTTGTATTTTAAAACAAACAATAAAACCGAACAAAGTAATTTAAAATAATTGATAAGCTTTGCATAGCAGTTTTATAAAAAGTTTCACTGTAGTTTGGCGCCTCTTTTAACAACACTGCAGTTTAGTTGATTATTAAATTTACTTATTGCTAAATAATTTTAAGGTTACATTTTTTTGCTATATCATCTTAAAAATGCTGCAATAATTAACAGTAAAATATAACTTAAACCTTTTTTGAGAATTGCGATTGCTAAAAAAATAATAATTTTCTTTGCTTAAAATATTTTGCTTACAAAATACAAGCACCTGTATCATTAATTTTTGCGGAACCTGTTTCTTATTTTTCAATTTGAGTTGAGAGCTTTTGTTTCAAAATTTTTTACTATTTATAAATATTGTTTTCCCAACTTTTTATGAATTTTTCTAACACAGAGTTGTATGTTGAATTATTATTAAATATTTTTAATGCAGAGTTGCATGCTTTCGCACTTACTAAAAATATAGATGTATAAATCATTTAAAATATAGGTATGTATACATATTTATAAATAAATATTTTATTTTAAACCTTTTACTTTAACTATTTACTAACTTTTGTTTTTTATTACAATCGACTAATTTACCCAATTAATTTTTCTCTAATAATACTCTCTCCAAGAAAAAGCCTGGAAAGTCATATTGTCATCTGTTCCTTTCAATAGAATACACCAGAGCTATACTTTAGTCACTAAATAGTTTATCCGTCTTTTAGCTTCACTTACGAAGACTTTTTTCTCCTCTCTGAAGCATAGGGCCTCACAAGATGGCGCAATCTCACACGATTGGTGATTGGCGTAAAACTGAGAGATTAGTGGAGAAATATGTGCGTCGTCGCCCTGCCGCATTCATTAAGGTTTTATATTAAGATAGTGAAGTTACTCGAGCACAGTATTGGAATCGATAAAATATATAAACTTTGATCATAGTTTCTCTTACCCATTGTGTGCTTCTAGTCAAACCGGCTCAGCAGCAGCAGAAAAGATTATGTGTGACTAGTGTGTAAAATCAATCAGCGTAAGATTCAGCCCTATTTTTGACATGAAGGTCTACAACGCATACTAGATTACAATTTTTCTCAACTATTTCAAAACGTCGTCGATAGTAAAATATTTTTTTAGCCTCAAGATTAGATGCAAAACTATTCCCTATCGGATAATTAGGATAGGTGATGTTGAGTTCATTAGGCTTCGAACAATTATTCTCCGCATTTTGCTATGGACCACAATAGAGACTATTTTTAAATTTAGTCGTATCTATCTTCTATAATCAAAACAATATATATTAGAAGCCTTGTAGCTGTACGTACATATATCTATAATACGTATCTTGGAAACTTTTTCGGACTGCCAAAAAACAAAATTTGCATGTATTTTTATCCGCTGAGCCAAAAGAAGCATCCTATTTTCAATACACTTTTTATAAGCCTCGGCTGGGATAGTCTGAAGGCACTGCAAATTTTAGTTTTTTTGGTTTCAAATCTATAAGCTCACGTCTCGTCACTAGTAAAGTCAAAAACCGCTTTAGCGACCTCTACGCAACGTCGTTATTGCAAAAGATTCAGGTTTTTTGGTACTGTCACGCTTTAAACCTAAAAATTTAACCAAACTATGTTTAGTCGATCTATAAGAGATGTTGAGATTCTCTGATGTTATCCTAATTAACAAAGATGACTTCACCATCATCGCTGAATACTTGTGTTCGGGATAAAGTAAAACTATAAAATACTTCTACAACATTTTCGACGATTCCGCAGCCCTGATTCCATGGAAAACACAAAATTTCAAGTAAATTTTCTCTCTATAGTAAAAATCGTCAGGCAAACTGCATAGAAACATAGAAAAGGTTATACCAATCGAGGAAAAAACTTTCGATTCGATTTGCGCGCGCAGTTCCATTTAGACCAGAAATATATTCAAATTTTGTCATGACTGTTTTCTCAAAACTTTCAATGCTTTGTTAGAAGAACTCTAACCATATACTTATCAATGAGGAGTAAGTAATGGAAAGTATTATTCTATCACAACTATCTTGAGGACTTTCTTCTTAATCAATATATTTGTATTTCTACATAAATTATACATGCAGTAGTGGAATAGAGTCTTTCGCTCATAGTCAGCGCCAACTTATCTGTGTTTATAGGAAGGAACTCTGCTTAGTAAAAACTCTGTTTGTATATAACATATGCTTTCATTTGAAAAATTTTTATCCTAATTTTTCATTTTTATTTACATATACGATATACATATATTTTAATTTATTGCAGGGGCATGGAATATCATAATAATTCACAAAGTCGTATATAATTGTAAATAATTTAGAGTCACATGCCTACTAGCTTAAAAGCTTAGCTTAGCGCTTCTCTATAAACATATATAAGCATGTGAGTGATAGCATGTTTCTACTAACCCACAATATCATTGCATCCGAAACGCTTCAAGTTCCACTACACATTACTACTTAAATACGCTATATACTTGTAGCAACTCTTTAGACTGTCTTATCATTAATTATATTATTAAACAAATCATAAAGGTTATTTAAACATTTATACATTTAAATATGTTATTAAAATTAACTACTCTAAAAATATTTTATAAAGAAATACGTTATGTATATAGTATAAATAAATCGTAATAAATATTATCTAATTGAAGCTTTTAAAAACAATAACTAATATATTTTCTTCACCTTTTATTTATAATTTTTTCTTTGAATGAAATATATTTGTTTTCGAAAATACGCGCACAATACGAACAGGCACCTACTTCAATTGCATCATGTTTATGGTGGCATCATCGGTGGTGCTGACGGTTGTTGTGCTCAACTATCATCATCGCACGGCGGATATACACGAAATGCCGCCTTGGGTAAGTAAGGAAAAGCGAAGAAGACAATGCGTGAAAGCTCATAGTTGTTTAGTAAAAGCTTCGCATACGTGTAAAAGTTTAAAAGCCTTGCGTGTAACTTTTTTTAATGTGTATTCTCTAAAGTCAAAGTAAATTAATCTTCATAATATAATATATTAACATGCGTTCCACCATACACCATTAGATTAAATCCGTTTTCCTGCAATGGCTGCCATGGATTTTACGTATGGGTCGTCCGGGCCGTAAAATCACACGAAAAACAATTCTACTAAGTAATCGCATGAAGGAATTGGAATTAAAGGAACGTTCTTCCAAATCGCTACTAGCCAATGTGCTGGATATCGATGATGATTTCCGGCATACGATCTCCGGTTCACAAACGGCGATCGGTTCATCAGCGTAAGTACAAGTGATAGGCAGACGTTCGTTTGATCGCCACAAGCGAAATTCTCTCATTTTCAATTTACTTTTGTTTAAATATCTTTTTGCACTTTACAGAAGTTTCGGTCGCCCCACAACGGTGGAGGAGCATCATAACACAATAGGTTGCAATCATAAAGATTTACATTTGATTCTTAAAGAATTACAATTCATCACATCACGTATGCGTAAATCCGATGATGAGGCGGAATTGATAAGCGATTGGAAATTCGCGGCAATGGTTGTGGATAGGTGAGTAGTAAATACATATTTTATAATGATGAAACTATGTTCGATCTAAAAAGAATTATAATTTACTCTCTTTAAAAATATTTTAAAAAAAGAATGAAAGAATGAAATGAATTTTCAGCAAACAAATTAATTCACTCAGAACTTGATCCGTTTTTACAAATCGATTAAAATTCGCCCGGCACAAAAAATATTTTTCTAGAAACTGCCAGATTTACGGAGCTTGAAAATTTCATTATTACTAGGACTTACTACTACTTACTTCTAATTTTAAAGAAAGTCAAACCTGCTGAGTCTCAATACCAACCAACGAACATACAGTAGTCATTTAAGTTTCCCAATCTTATTGTCGATTTAAGATAACTTCTCCCTACATATATCTATAAACTTTTTTGATGAAACCACATTATGCTAAGTATAACATCGTCAAATTTTATATTTTACTCTGTAATCGATATTACCAAAAAGGGGGAACCATATGTTAGGGATGAAAATAATAATATTGAATATAGGTAATATACAAGGGAATTTTTTTATCTGAACTTGTCTGACGAATATCTTTATACCAGGGCAAAGGAAAGTATTGACTTTTTTCACTATGAGAGTACGGTGACTGAGCGATTACTCCTGTTTCATGTTTAGTCAAGAAGGCTGTCACAATCATACTAGAATGTGACGGCGCATTCAAGCATTGCATAAAATGTATTGAGTTCATCCATATAAGATATTGTGATCCTTTGCTATCTCTCTGATGCCAACCCGACGATTTTTAAGCACGGTTTCTTTAACCTTTTGCTTGTTATCTTCATTAACATTAACTACAAGTATAGTAACTATTCATTAGAGTTTCGATAACTTCACGACCTTTACTGAATGCTTTGTGCCATTTGAATATCAATGTGTTCGTGATAAAGTAGACTCCCCAAAATACTTCTTCTACGTTTTCAACGATTTCATAGACGTGTACCCATAGGAAACACAAAATGTCAAGCAAAATCGTAATTGAAATTTTTTTTCATCGTAAAAATTGCAGTCAAATTATTCACTTCGTAACCAAACTTTACACTTACATAAAAAGGTTCTAGCAATCTAGGGAAAACAAATTTTATCGATAGTTCGGATCAAATATAGCAAATGGTATACATATCCCTAAATCGATCAAGGTTTAGGTGTTAAAAACAACCGTTCAGAAGAATATTTATTAACTTAATTAATTTTGCCAATTCATTATTTTTTCTTAACTGATCCTATAAAGAGGCACTAGTAAGTAAAGCTCGCAGAACCCGAATATTTCATAAAATCCTTCATTTGAACACTTCAAGCACATATGGATATAAATAAAATGGAATTCAACTATTTTGTATACTTTGACATTTTTAAAATACCAACAAATGAGAACTGCTCAAAAATCTCCCATGATTCACTGAATTAATTGTTGTCCTTCAACCAAAGCTTTCTATCCTCAATTGAGTTCGGGCTAATAACTTTTCATAATCTCAATTAAATTCAAATTAAAAGTAGTTTATGGTATTTCTGGCAAACGACAACTATCAATTAAGAAACATGTAATAATAAATGTAATTTGTGCATAATTGAACATTAGTCATAAATATATAAATTTAGTTAATAATAACCTGGATACACTTAGTTCATACATACAAAATCTGCATGTACAGAATATATAAGGACATATGGCTTATAACAAAAGATAAATGTGATTGCAGTTAAATTAGTTGCTTTTGCACAATAGTAAATTTTTTATGTGCAATGTGACTTGTTATCAAGTTGTTGTTGAGTTAAATTAGCACAAATCTTTTACATGAATTAGTGTGCGATTACTCAAATAGTTTTCCGTCCTTCATTCATGGTAATTTTTAAATTTAAGATCTATATAAAAGGAAATACATTATTTTTCCATAAAATTGAAGGTTGCATTTAGCCTAATTAGAATTACCCGTTTTGATCGATAACTTTTTGCCATTTTTAAGGCAATTTCATAATGCTACTTCCTTGGAAACCCTCGTCACTATTGTGTCCCAGTCGCCATAGACAGAAACAAACAGTAATCACTTGGTACCAGGACCAAACTATAAGGGTAGATGATTCTCTGGCAAAATCCCATAAAACAGGTAGCAAAGCCTTTCTGACCGTCAATCCTGGCTTGGCCACAGTTTGCGCCGGGTCACCGAGATTCGATTACGACCATTTTTTTTTTTTTTTGTATCCAGCTTTATTAAATGGTTTCAAACTGTTTAGATGATAGGCGGACTCGACCATTTCCATTATTTGATCGATATATTTAACAATTGGCAGAGCGTGGTATATCGTTGATATCAAAAGTGCCGAAACGAAATCAAACTAAAAGCTAATGAGGAAACATGAGTTGCTCTCAAGTCTGGTTCAAAGATTTATCGAATTTGCGATATGTCATAAATACGGTGTGTTTTAACGATACCGAAAGAGCGCCACTACCCCATAGGACTCTTGTAGGGTGTTCCAGTGCTAGAAGATCTCAACTGTACTCGTTGTAGAAAGAATACATGTCTGTAGTTGCAAGTTCTTCCTGACATTTACAATCCAGATTGTATAGCAAGATTATATAGCAAGAGAGTTCGATGCCCTTCTTTCTGAGCATTAGCTTTTGTGTTCTTTTCAATAATACGACGTAGTGAATACTCTATTTTCATAGGTAAATGATGATGATACATTTCTGACATCCATAAATCTTTCGCAGAATTTATTTTACTAACTCCCCACAGTTAGTTCAAGTTTTCTGTCGTCGTCAACACTTCAGAAATATTTATGCGAGTCATATGACAATGGTGCTAAGAATTTTTTGTTCAGTTAGATGTTATGGGAATCAAAGAGATTATTATTTTTATTCATAGAGATTTGACATCAATCCCAAATTTACTAGATAGTGGAAAAAAATGTACAAGTATATCACTCTCAGCCATTTATTTGTAGGATCGAAATTATGCTGCCAAAATAATCGATGTAAAAAAAATATATAAGAGTTCTGGCAATTTATTCAATAAAATAGATACATATATATTATTCGGAGTCGAGATATCAATTTGGGCTCTTCGTTGACAATCGAAATAAAAATGTATATATGTTATTTTTGGCTGTAGCGGTTTCGCTTAAGAAGTTGAGGTTTAGGGAGGGATTTTAAAAGCTGCTTAATGCTTTTAAGGACCGTCATAGTACACTAACACTTTTAACAACTACTTTATTGCTACTACAAACAACCGTTAAAACAGCAAAATTATGAGTATAAAGTATTCCATACAGAGGATCTAAACTACTTTACATGCAGAAAATCTACTTACAAACATAAAGTAAAGCTTAATCCCAACTAACACTTAAGTTGGTGACTTATTACATACAGAAATAGTTATATAGATATATAGTCTTGTGGTATGTTGGTATATACCAACAGAATAATATACATTTGTAACAGTGCACTAAAATTGGACTTAAGTACGTCTCATAAACGGATACGCCATCGAAACCCGCCTTAAGTAGCTCACATTACGAAATTGCATCCCTTTCGAATTCACTTAACGACAGTTGTTGTTGTTGTTGTGGATATGAAAGCTTGCATGGACATTGTAAGGCTCAAGTGAGTACAAATAAAAGCACATACAGATATATGTGTACGTAAGCCCGCTTATAGCCCACTACTTTCGCAGACTTAGACACTAATCGCACTGTGTGACACCATAAAATTGAACTGGATACAGTTGTAGATATGTTCAGTACATTGCTTTCCTGGTCGAAGTTGCAAGTTGGGTGGTGTGGCATTTTGGTCAGCCACAATTTTGTTCGCGCTATGTAGTTTTCATAACGATTTATATTATTGTTATTGAAAATGTTCAATGTGAGAGCAAATACCACTAGCTCCTACTAGTGGCTTGTGTGTTTATGTCTCCCGGGATCAATTAAATTTGGCACTGAACTCCTTTTGAGCATTTAAAGATTACTGTTCGGCTTTACGGACACTTATAGCTTCGATTATCGAAATGCGATCGAAACAGATTTGTCTGCATACTTCGCTGGAAATTGATGCATAAGTACAATGCTGAAAAGATTTTAATACCAATTGGCATTAATTGATTTAGACAATTGAACACATACACTTAAGCAATTTAGTAGTTGTACAAGGGTGCCTGATGGATAATTTTAGGCAGCTCAATGCATAATAAATGTACACATGTATATTTTCGCTAAATTACATAGCATTAGCTTTACGTATATTATAATAAAGTATTCGATTTAGCGCTCTCTGATTTTAAGAATTTCCTCCTTAACCTCAATTTTCGGGTGCACAACAGTCTATAAGTTCCGGTCGAAAACAAAAAGCTTCACTAGTAAATTTTGAAACCCAAAAATATATATTCGTCGTAACGGGGCGGAGTTGAGTCCATGACTAACACTCGGTAGCACAGGAGTTCAAATCCCAGTCAAAACTACATCATACAAGATCAAGTAAGGAAGGGATATGTTCTGGTGTAACCGAACATTTTATACTCTTAGAACTTGCAAGAATCAAAACCCGGGAAATTACTTCAGGTGCTGGCAAAACTTTATAAGTAACAAGTAAGGAAGTTCTAAGTTTGGGTGTAACCGTACATTTTATACTCACGCAACTTGTTTTTGGGCTATCGACACAAGTAGTTCATCCTGATGATTTATATAAACAACCTTTAGGTAAACAAAGCTATTATTTTAGCATTGGCTAGACAATAGTTCATGTCAAAGTTCGTGAAGATACCTTATCAACTAAAAAAGTCTTACATACAAAGACTTAGATTTGATTGGTCAGTTTGTATGACAGCTATATATATTCTATAGTGGTCCGATATCTGCCGTTCCGACGAACAAGCAGCTTCTTAGTTGGAAATGGACGTGTGTAAAATTTCATATCGATATCTAATATTATTAATTAGTAGCATATGTCGTATATTTTATAGAGCTTGGTGTTACAAACATCATGGCAA